ACGACCCGTTTAATAAACGAGTAACACGACACGACTCGTTTAACCTGTTTAATTTTAAAAAAATTATATCAATAAATTTTAATACTCTATTTTTTTTACTACTAATTGCACTTACCTCAAAAAAGAAAATTTTAAATCAAATCTCATAAAAATAAGACTTGAAGGCTTCAAAAAAAAAAGCAAGAGGATATTGCCTTTTATAGGCAACTCACTCTCCCCATCTCCCCTCATTTTTCAATATGAGACAAAAACAAAAGACATTGGTTTGATTTTGTCTTTCAAGTGCTTTACAATTCATCTCATTTGTTTTTGAAAAATAAGACTTCAAGGCTTTAAAAATAAAAATAAGAGGTCATTGTCTTCTATAGGAAACTCAACCCTCCTCATCTCCTGTCATTTTCTAATGTGGGACAAAAATAAAATATATTTGTTTACCTTTACCTTTGAAGTGCTCTCCAACTCTTCTCCTTTGTCTTTGAACTACTACTCTACTTTTTTTTTATTGATTTATTTACTTCTTTTTTCTTGCTAATTTTTTTAAATAATTATTAATTTATTATTATATTAATTTTATTTAAACGGGTAAACGTGTGATAAACGGTTTGATAGGTCTCACCCGAATACGACCCGTTCATTAAACGTGTTTGGCGTGTCAACCTGTTTATCACCCAAACCCGTTAAGATCTCACCCAAATCCGTTTAACTTGTGTCAATTCGTGTCGGTTAATCGTGTCGTGTCAAATTTTGACAGCCCTACGCAGAGGCGCCACTTCTCATTGGCCTTTGTCACCATTACCACATTGGATAGCTAGTCTGGGTAGGCTACCTCCCTCACTAACCCATATGTGAACAGCTTATCTATCTCCTTCTCCATGGCTTGCCCCCTCTCAGTGCTCACACTCCTCAACTTCTGGAGGACCGACTTATATCTAGGGTCAACATTGAGTTGGTAGGAGGCCACATCGGGGTCGATACCCTCCAAATCTTTGTAGGACCAGGCGAAGACGTCTGTGTTTTGCTTGAGGAAGTTTATTAAGGCAGACGCTAGCTTTTGGGAGAGTGAGGAGCCTATGTAGACTTTCCTCTCTGGAAGGCTGTCGTTGAGCACCACAGGTTGAAGTTCTTCTGCGGGCTCACCCCTTTCCAAGGTACTGTCATCCCTGGGGTCAAGTCAACTTGGAAAGTCTCATGTGGTCTCTTAGTCCTCATAGAGGCCACATAGCAATCTCTGATTGAGACCTGATCTCCTCTTATCAACACCGTTGGAGGTTGAGAAACGAAGGAGAAGGTGGTAAGTTGAGGGTACTGCTCTTAAGGCGTTCAGGGCAGGGCGTCCAAGAATTACATTGTAAGTAGAAGGGCAATCAAGTACAAGAAAATTTACTATTATAGTTGAGCTTCTAGGAGCAGTCCCTGCTGTGACTGGTAGAGTGATGGATCCTAGGGGCTAGACTTTCTCTCCTGAGAAACCAACCAAGGGAGTCCTGATTGGCCGTAGTCTCTCTTTGCCAAGGTGAAGGCTGTTATTGGCAGTAGTGAATAGGATGTCAACTGAGCTGCCGCTGTCGACTAGGACCCTCCTGACCTGGTAGTTGGCCATCATCAAGGTCAAGAACAGAGGATCATCATGTGGGACTTGGCTGAGAAGGTGATGACCTCCTCCTCTCCGTGTCGGGGGGTCTTCAGCAGGTGAGAGTCATGAGACTCCGCCTGTCTAGCTTTATGGGTGTGCACCTTCCTAGCATAGTTGGAGTCACCTCCTCCTCCTTACCCTTCGGCGATAGTGTGAATCTCACCAAAGGGCTGCTGGCACTCTCTATCTTCACGTGGAGGGGTCAGTCCTCGATCATACTGTCTCAGCTAGCTGCACTGAATAAGCTCCTCGATCTGCTTCTTTAACTGAAAGCAGTCGTTCGTGTCATGTCCGTGGTCGCGGTGGAAGCGACAGTACTTATTGGAATTTCGGCTCTTTAGGTCAGACTTCATCTTTCTAGGCCAACGGATCGCGGGGTCGTCCTGAATCTAGAAAAGAATGTGCTCCACTGAGGCATTGAGTGGAGTGAATGGCTGTTGGTCTTTTGGTGGCAATGGTCTAAGGTGGTCTTTCACGGAGACTCTCTTAGATTTCTTTCTCTTGTTCTCGGTCTCCCTTTTGTCTTCTCGGCCGTCTTTCCTTTTCTCCCCTCCTTTAGAGGATTCACCCCGATGGGCCTTGGTGACGTCCTCGACATTCATATACTTCTGTACCTTAGACAACAACTCGGGTATATCAGAGGGTAGCTTATTGAGGACTGAGAACATGAAGTTGGAGGTGCGAAGGTCGGCAATAAAGGCAGTCAGAGCCACCTTATCACCTGGCTCCTCCACTTGGAGGATCTCCTCATTGAACCGGGCAAGGTAGTTGTTGGGATTTAACATGATTTAAATCCACTAATAAACACACACAATCGAAGAACAAATCAAGAATATAAAGCAATAAGAAACAAGAAAAAACAAGATACAGATTTTACGTGGTTCGGTAATTTGCCTATGTCCACAAACTGCAGAGATTTCACTATTGAGAGTGAATACAGAGAGCGACTGTACAATCCACCATATTAACCCTAATCATCAAAACAACGGATTTTATATGTCCTACGCACTGGGCTATATAACGGGCCCAAAAATTTTTCTCGAGGGCGTTGCCCCCGAACCCCCACAAGGCTTGTCCATGAGCACTACAACTTGGGCCTATCGGCCCAAGCTTTCACTCCATAGACTAAACTTCAAAAAATTTCCCATTAAAAAACCATGCAATATTACTTCGGGTTGGGTCATCATCCGAATCGCATATATAAACTAGACTCCACAAAAAAAAAAAAACAGTAGTCTCTAAGGTTTTCATCTCTATCCTACTTGATAGTGAGCAGATGGGTCACTGGTTTCTAATGTCGGCGTCCCCCAATGAAGTGGAAGACGAAGGACCTACTGAGCTCGGCGAAGGAGTGGATGAAGGAGGACCTGAGCTTGGAGAACCACTGGCGAGCAGACCCCTTCAAGGTGGTAGGGAAAGCTCTAGACATTATCTCCTTAGGCACATTGTAAAGTTGCATGAGGGATTTGTAGGTATCCATGTGGTCTAGGGGGTCCTTGGTGCCATCGAAGATCTCGATGGTGGGCATCTTGAACTTCGAGGGTAGAGGGTAGTCAGCAATGAATGGGGTATTGGTGCGCCTTACCAAGTAGTCCACGGTTTCAGACGCCTGTGCTTTGATGACTTTAAGGGCATCGTCGAGTTGGTTTTGTACCTCTCTGATCTTCTCGTCCCACTGGTTAGGGACATCCTCCGTTGGGTGGTGGTATTGGCTTTCATGATCTCTGTATTGACTTTCTCTATCTTCGTTCTCCTACACAGGTTTATGAGAATGGGGCGCTCGTGAACTCCCTGCGCGCTCAGGAGGGACTAGGTGAGGGGCACCCTAACGTGGTCTTGGAGTGTTCTGGCTAGGGGGCCTATGGTGTGGGGCTACCTGACGCCCAGAAAGGATAGGCAGTTTCTAAACTCCACGTGGGGAGAGTGGGACTCCTCCTGCGAGGGGAGGGGCGATACCTCCTTGGGAGAGCATGAGTTGGATGATCTCCTAGTTTTGGCTCACCAGCAGCTGCATGGTCTGGAGGAGTTGTTGCTACTGTCTAGCGGCGGGAGTAGTAGTAACATATGGTTTTACAGGTGTAAAGGGAGGCGGAGCCTCCTCCCGGTGGGTCGGGTTGTTGTCTCCTGGTTGTTGGGCATCGATCGAGTAGTGATTGCCATGGATTTAATGAGAGTAGGAAATTAGTCGTTTCTCATAGACGGCGCTAAACTGATGATGCACAAATTGGTCTCGTGTAAGATCAATAGTCAAGAACGTATAAGGGTGTAATTAATATGCGGTTAACAAGCAATCAATGACAATTAAGGGTTAAAGCGACAAATAAGATAGACACAGAGATTTATAGTGGTTCACTCTGGGTGACCTACTCCACTCTTGGGAACGGCAACGGTGGCCTAGGGTGTTTTATTGATGAATAATGTAGCTGAAAAAGTAACTCCGGTGTATTATAGTGCTTTGGAGAGAAAGGGAGAATAGTGTGTGTGAGGAGATGGGCAGAGGCTTTAGAGGCGTCGTCTCAATGTTGAGAGGGCGTACATTATATAGCTAGGGTAAGGCGGTGACGTGATAAATGATGTCTCTATCACTTTGTTAAGTTTCATTTTAGTAGGACTCAATCTCCATCCCGATATTCTTTCCCTCTTACTCCAATTCACTCGGAGAAGGATACTAGATTGATCTTGATCTTGGACTTGACCCTGGAGTGAACTACGATCGTTTGGACTGGCATTGGAGTCATTCCCATGGTACTGAGGTGGACTAAGGAGAAGACAACAGAGAAGGACTAAGGGGAGAACGGAGGAGAGCCCAAAGGGCTGCCCATGGGCAGCGCCTCAAGGGACCCTATGGGCAGCACCTATTTGGGGACCTTGGGGCCTTAGGCGGCGCCCCCTGGTTGCCGTCTTCTTGGCTCCATCGAGCATTAGTCCTTTCTTGTGCTTTGGACTTCTTTTGTGGGTCGATCCAACTCCAATGGACTCTTCTTTGGCTTCTTCAGTTTATTTGAATTGGGCTTTGGCCCTTCAAAACTTGGGCTCATCAATTTTCAACTTGGCTTCTATACCTAAAGGGAGGAGCGTGGCATGGAGGCAGTAAAGGGAGAATATAGAACCTACCTCTTCCCACTAATAATCCGTGGCAGTCTATCCTCTCTAGGGAGTAGTACTTGTTTCAGGCTTACAACCCTAGCCCACTGACTACACATCGAGTCACTTGCACAAGACTCTTGGGGGCCTCAGCAAAGTAAGAGAGAGAGAGTTTTAGCCTCGTCTTAGAGTCCGATTCCCGATATGCAGGAGCTGAAACAAAGTGATCTATCATGCTCTAATAGAAACTCAAGATAATTAGTGTGACTTTTAGATGTAAAGGATGATAACGAAAGAGAAGCTGATGATGATTGTTTGCAGGTGTTGCTGTTTGGTGCAAGCGACGTCAACTACCATGATAAGATAATGCAAGTAACCGTTGCATTCAACCATTTTGGAAAGAGACTCGTTCAAAGAATGCCCAGATGCCGATGGGGATTCTTCCACCTCGTCAACAATGACTACACTCACTGGATAATGTACGCCGTTGGTGGTAGCCAAGGTGCTACCATTATAAGCCAGGGCAACCGGTTTATTGCTCCTCCAATTCAAGCCGCAAAGGAGGTGTGTACCACAAAAAGGGAAAAAAAAAACTTTTATTCATTTTAATGCATAAAACTCTGCAATTGTATGAAGTTTAGGATTGAACCTGACTTTTATTTTTGGAATGGTTGAGGTGACCCATAGGAATTCCCTGGGGCCACAATGGAGGAAATGGACCTGGGTATCAGACCGTGATCTCATGATGAATGGAGCATTCTTTGTTCAATCAGGAGACTTAGCTGGGGCTAGGACATACGCCGGCCTCGAGTTGATTAGAGCAGCTCCAGGGTCAGCCGTTTCTTCCCTCACAAGCATGGGTTCTGTCCAACTATGCACTCAAATTTGGGCAAGTGGCAGCCTTACCATTCACACCCATACCACTTGATCTGAAGTGGGGTTTTGCAGAAGTGCAAAATGTCGACTTTTCTCTCTCGTTGTCTACCCATTTTTAGCCCCCAAAAACTTGCAGCTGATCAACAACATGGAAGAAGAAACGATGGAGGAAATCACCTTCCTCATCGATAAACTTCGTGGTTCTTTGTGGCCGCTGCTGTTGAAGAGAGGGCCGCTTGGGAAATTAGGGCCGCTGTCACCGAAGAGAGTGACCGAAATCAGTATTGGTTGGTGGGCTTCATCGATTTTATAGTATTTTTTGAGGTTTTTCTTACCAAACTAATTGTTTTGACCGAAATTCGTAACCTTTATCTTGGCATAGCTTGCAATTTGAGTTTTTTTTAGAAAGATTGTTACGATTTTGAGCAAAATTAGAAAAATTGGGCAAAACTTAATCGGGTTGACCTGTTACAACCCGGTAATGGCCGTTACGATCCGATAACGGGCATTACGTATGTGAATTTTATTCTTCATTATATCGGTCTGTAACGAGAATGGGACATGCCGATACCATTACGTAACAAGAATGGGACATGCCGATACCATTACGTAACAAGAATGGGACCTGTAGTCGATACCGTGGGACCTGTGGTCGATACCGTTACGTAACGCCGTCACGCCCGTTATTCAAAACCCTGCTCATAAGGTTTACAGGTGCTCTAGCTTGCCTGGTAGGAAGGGCATGTTAGCAACCGATTATCCAACCAAGCTCAACAACATTTTGTCCCAACCAAATGACAATTTTTAGTGCCAAAACCTTACGGGGTTTAGGCCGAAGAAGTAAAGATGGGCGGTGTTATGAGATGAGGAAAAAGGGCCTGTAAATTTCAAAACAATGCAATTGAATTTATGCTTTACCTGCTTCAGTGACAATGATGTGTTTTATAAAAGGTTCATTACAGTCCACATCATAAAAGCTTTTAATCAATCACCGTTTATGTGTGTGTGCATGCGTGTGCACTACACAAAAAAAAAAAAAAATATGGGAAAAACACCCATTCAGTATAAGGAACGTAATTTAAACCAAGGATAAAACAGCACAAAATTGAACTTGCCTTAACTTGAGCAACGAAAGGAAATTTAGAAGACCAAGGTGAATCTTTATGAAAAGAAATACATGGAAAATACCTCCATTGATTATTAGGATATTTCATAACCACTTCATGATCAGCTTCTCGATTGATTTGGATGTAGCAGCTTTGCAAACAGGCACAACCCAATTGACGCGTCAAAATACATCTATCTTCAGCCTTTGATAAATATGGAAATATATGATAGATGCAATTGGAGTTTCTATAGCTATCCGTGGTTTGTTCCTTATCTATGGGAATGGACTGTTGAGGTTCTAGACTACGAAGTATAGGTGAATCTTCTGGGTGATGCAGGGTTTCAGTTCAGGTGAAAAGGCATGGCATCGGTGTTGAGTGGTGTTACAGAAATGAGAGCCATCATCACACTACCATGAAAATTTCCATATATAATTTAAAGATACTATTAAGACAACTGTAGAACATCAGCTGAAACCTACAAATCTACCATGTAGGATCCTGGCTGGGAAAATGAATACATAGTGTACAGAAACTATGCACTGTCAGACTCATTCCCTGGATCGGTAATTCTGGGTTGTGGGTTCTTGTAGCTGTTGATTTCACTTTTGTAGCGCCTCTTGTCTGCATGAGCCTTTGCCTCGTATGGTTCTTTCTCCTCAGCTGCAAGAATGAAATTCTTTTCAAAAAAGGAGAAGAAGCTAAACTAGAGCACAAGTTTCGGAAGTGACGTGCGAGAAAATTGGCTAACCTGACATCTTATTCCATTGGTCACCAAGAACTCTTCCCATCTCTGTGAAAGGAATTCCAGGATTACTTTTCTTCACATTCTGCAATCAACAAAGTACAATAAGCAACCAATTCCATTCTGCACAGACTCGAGAAGTGCTGAGAATGACCAAATGAACATTATTCCATTTACTACGTCCTAAAGCATTGAATGTCGATTTTACCAGGGTTCGGTTAAGCTAAAATAAAGTGAAAGCAGATGAGGAATCACAGAGACACACATTATGCATACAATGACATAACCAATGTGCAACTACATCATTTTCAGGTTTCTGGAAAAAAAAAGAGATTCTCCCAGTCACAGGAAGTTGATGCAAAACTGACAAAGCTCCCAGTCACAGGAGTCGATGCATAACTAACAATTTCAACACATCACAGATATATACGTTGAAAACAAGCAACAGGGATTGAAACCACTGTGGATTTAACCAAATCGCAAGAATCAAGGACACTTGAGGATCTATCAATGTGCTCATGAGCTATATCAAGACACTGTGAAGGACAACCCAAAAATTACTGACCTCCCTTTCGGCATGCGAGAAGTACATGAAAGCACTGATTGCCCTCTTTGGTGCATTTGGATCCTTTTTCTTCTTTTGTTTCTTCTTTTTTGAACCATCTTCATCACCATCTTTGGTTCTTTTCCTACCAGAAGATGCCTTCGCAGCAGAAGATTCTTTCTTAAGTTTCTTTTTAGCAGGTATCTGGATTCCCCATGCATGCAATGCCAGACTAGTTTTAAAAGTCATGCAAGTTCTCCCCTACAGGGAGAAAAGGGGCATGCAACGAAATGATTATCTCTTCCTCATCTCCACTTGCACTAGCATCAGATTCTCCTTCCCCTGAATCATCAGTAGGAGAGCCTCCATCATCTTCGTCAGCAACAAAATCTTCATCCTGCAACCAAGACAAAGAGCGGGATAAATAACGCATAAAACAGGAAAGGAAGACAAGTGAAAGCTACCAGATATATTTCAATGAAGACCCACCTTGAAAAACATAATCTATACCAAACCAAAACCATATAATTCCCACCATTTTTTCAGTACTTTCGCAATCAATAGTCAAAGTATCTAGACGTAACTAACACAAGCTAAACAAATAAATACATGATACATCAGACCAAAATCCAAAACATGAACGACTATGACAGAAGGAAAAAGAAATAACACATGAAGATTCAGAAACGCTTAGGTTCACCTCCTCGTCACTCTCATCTCCACCAGTTTCATTTCTAATCCGCTCGAGATGTGGATCAACATCATCATCATCATCGCTCCGCAAAACAGCCGCGACACCTTCAGTAGTTTGGACACTTCCCAAACTCATGATTTTCAGACCCTTCGAACTGCGTTAACCAAAGGACAAGGTTCAAACTGCATGTCCTGCTGACTCTTTAACACAAAGCGAAAAGAAGACTCTCATACTGACTTGATGAAGTCAAAAAGTTTATGATACTCGTTTCTCTGAATGTTCCGAAAGAGATGTTTTTGTTCAGTCTTCAGTCTAATCAGAAGGTCGAAGTAATGCATGTTTGATCCTCCAGCAGCATGCCTCTCAAACTCCACATGGTCAATCTGCATAAACAAAACAAGTCATTTATTAGACATGATTAACCATAACTTATATGAGCGAACAGTAGAATTAAACCACAACTTGTGTCAAGTGCATGCTTAAAAACTATACCTCCTCGTGAAGAATATGGGTTGGAGGTTTGGGTAAAAAGAAAAAGCTCTTTTCAAGTGGATAAAGGAGTCCTTCTTCAGCTTTCAACGAGGACTTGACAGCATAACTATCAAGACAGCTACGGAACTTTCCAGGTCTAGTGACTTTGGCACCAGACCAGGCATGCAATATCAACATGGAAACTTCGTGAACGAGCCCTGATGGTTTCAAAGAAATGTAATCGTAGCGATAAATGTAAATTGTTGGGGATATAATAACCTAATTTATTATGATTTATTAAAAATTTTTCTTTTTATTTTTATTGATTATATATACGAGTTCTACACTTATTTTGTATTTCTTTCGCTTACAAATATCTTTCGTTGGTATCAGAGCCACCAACCTTAACCCTAAACCTAGCCTCCGCCAATCATTGCAACCAGCCAAACAAACCAGACAGCCAAAAACAACCACCAAAAGCCACTGATTGTCCATACCGACTAGTCTAAACAGCCACCGTAGGACTCCAAAAGCAAAACAACCAGCAACAACTCCTCACCGACAGTCTACCATCTCACCGACAGCCAAACCCAAGTTAACAGCCCACCATCTCACCGAAATAGCCACCGACGCCCACTCCACCTAACCCAGTGACAACTACTCCAAGTTCACAGCCAGCATACCAGTCCAACCCAGACTCAATAAACCCAGACCAGTGGAAAAACCCAATAAATAAATCCAATATATAAAAAAACCCCACACCAGCCCAATAAACCTAGTAGAGCCCACAGCCCAGACCAACTCACTATTGGTAACTGTCCAACCCACTCATCAACCCACTGTCAGGATGCATTTTTTGTTGTGGCTTTACTCTTCACATTTTTTTTTCACATTGCTATCAAGTTGCAGTATTTAAAATTTTTTTAAGAAGGGCTCTTGATGCAGTAAATCATTTATTTATATTTATTAAATTTTTGGGCACTGTGACTTGATTATTTGGGAGCTTTATAGACCTTATTTTTTTGTCGCTAGTGTTCGATTAGAGGTATATTGTTCTCCCTTATTTTATTCCTCTTTTTATCTTATAGTTATTTTTTTTTCACGGATAACATAGTATTGTTGTTGATATGACTATTACTAAAGGACTTGAGACTCTTACTGTTGACACTTCTACCGTTGAGACATTTATTGGTACTTTTATTTTTATGTTTGACCAATATACAGTACTTATTGACACAGTTGCATTACGAGCACTGTCATACATGATCTCTCAGAAAGTTATGGTATAGTTGTTGAACGACCGTAATTTCGTTGAGTGGTCTTGCTCATTCCAACTTTTCTTAGGCCGTGTAGAGAAGCTTGGTTGGCTGACGGGATCTCACTCAAAGCCAATTGATGACAACTCTGGATATTCTACGTGGTTCTTTGAGAACTGCGCTATTTTTAGATGATTATTTAGCTCGATGGGGCCACATGTTTGCAGGATTCACCAATTTTATAGTTCTATTTTCAAGCTATGGAGCACATTATCAGAGATGTATTCCCAGCTAGGACGCGGAGTTTGCGTTTATGAGTTTTCTTAAGATCTCTCATATGCTCGACAGGGAGATTTGACCGTTCAGGATTATTATAACTATTTGACCCAGCGATGACTTGAGTATGAGACTCTACATTCTCTTACTATTATTCTGAGGATAGAGCCTGATGAAATAGTATTCTTGCACACTCGAGAGTAGGAGGATAGGATTCACAAGTTTTTTATGGGACTTCGTGATGAGTTTGAGAGACCTCGTCCCTAGATCTTGTCAATGTCGACGCTTTTTTCTTTTTATAAGGTGTATGCAATGATTGAGTAGCATGAGCGCCGCGTATGTATTGCATCACTTTTAGTTGCTGCCTTGACTCCTTCAGCTGATCATATGACCCTTGCAGCTGCTGCAGGGTCTTATTCAGGATCTTCAGTCAGGGGTGGACAATGCTTGGATCAGTGCCGTTAGGGTGCCCTAGATCAGCGCAGACAGGATAATTTTAGTCAGTGTGATTTTTATAGCCGACTGGGACATCTTAGGGCTGCTTGCTGGAAGCTCCATTCAGAGCTTAAACAGCCTCCTCATAGCCATACTGCTGCTATTGCCGAGATACCACCATCTACTACCGTAATTGCTTCTTCTTGACAGAGTGATATGAATGCTATCACTTTCAATTGGATATACTTATGTCCGCTCTGACTTCTCAGAGTCCAACTACTGTTGATGTCACCACTATAGGTATACCTCGTGTTTTTCATTCTTGTGTCAGTCCGTCTCCTCTTTGGATGCTGGACTCGGGTGGGAATGATCACATGACAGTTGAGGCCCATTACTTCACCACTTTTGACGAGTAGTTACATACACAAGTTTAGTTAGCAGATGGAACATATGCCCTTATTGTTAGTAAGAGTGCAGTTCACCTCCTAGATGGCTTTACATTATGTTCGATTTTTCATGTGTCAAAATTGACCATGAATCTATTATCTGTACATTAGTTTGTCAGAGATTTTCACTGTATAGTTGTGTTCTTATCTGATTCGTGTTATTTACAGGACTTGAGTACTAGGAGGATTATTATCAAAAGACATGAGAGAGATAAATTGTATCATCTAGGCAATCTACCTCCAATTTTACCAGTTCCTCCACTAACATCACCTTTGTTTTTATCTGTTCCTAGCATAGATGCTAGTATTTTACCTAGTAGTTGTCATTATAATTTTTTATCACAAACTGTTCATTTATGACATGACCATTTTGGAGATACAAATTTTAAATATTTATATATGTTGTTTCTTGCTTTGAGCAATACTTGTGTTGGTGGTAAACTTGATTATATTATATGTTCCTTATTGAAACATGTTAGGACTAGTTATATTCCTCGCATGCACCAGTCACCTAAGCCATTTGACCTAATACATTATGATATTTGGGGACTCCCTTCTGTTACTGCTTTGTCAGATGCTCGATACTATGTGATATTATAGATGAGCATACCCGTTGCACTTGGGTCTATCTTTTGCATAGGAAATTCGATGTACTCCTTATAATCACTCAGTTTCTACAGATGATTAAGACACAATTCGATGTCATTATTCGTGCTCTTCGTTCAGATAATGCCAAAGAATATGTGTCTGATGCCTTAGTGTCTCACCTTTCTTCTCAGGGTATTCTTCAGCAACTCACTTGTTCATATACTCCTGAGCAAAATTGTGTTACTAAAAGGAAAAATAGGAGTCAAATAGGGATGGTACGTTGTATGCTTAGAGACATGGGGGTACCAAAATCTTATTAATATTTTTCTGTTTTGACTTCTATCTTTCTGTGCAATTGTACACCGAGTTGTGTTCTTCAGCATAGAACTTCCTTACATGTCTTATTTCCTAAGTGGACAGGTCTTATTTCCTAAATGGACACTTTTTTCGATCCTTTCTTGTATTTTTGGATGTACATATTTTTTTCAGGATCGATCTCTTACTTACCATAAGCTTGATGATAAAATGATTCGTTGTATCTTTATGGACTATTGTCATCAGTCTAAGGGGTATCGGTGTTATGATCCTATTAGGTGTCGTATGTAGCATAATCTAGATGTTACCTTTCTTGAGCATATTCCTTATTTTTCTTTCAATTCTCCTATGTCTGCCCCTCCAGTTGATGATACTCCCTTTGATTTTTCAGTACCACAGGAGCTAGAGCCACTGGTCACTATAACTACAGAGTCACCAGTTTCTTTTCCTTTGTAGGTTCGTCGCCCTCGCTTTCATCCCCTTATTGATGTCCCCTCTATTTCAAGCAATGCAAGTAATACTTCTCAGTTCATTGAACATATTGATGCACCTGTTGTTAGTACTGATGAGATTGCAGGTACTGAGCCAGTTACTTTACCTGATGAGACATTATTAGTGAAGAATGATGATTTAAGGTGTCGTTATTCGAGGCGTAATCGTCATCGAGTTATTCGTTATGATTGGACCGCTAAGATTTTATATTCGATCTCTGCTTATGTTTCTTATGGTGATATGTCTCATATATTTCTAGCTTATAGTATGACCTTATCAGATACGCCGATTTCTCGCTCTGTTTCAGAGGCTATGCGAGAGCCCCAGTGGGTTCTTGCCATGCAGATGGAGATGGATGCTCTTCAGTATAATCATACGTGTGATCTTGTTTCTTTACCTTTAGGGGTGAATCCTGTTGGATGTCATTGAATTTACACCCTCAAGTTTCTTACAGATGGTACTATTGATCGTCACAAGGCTAGGCTTGTGGCGAAGGACTTTACTCATGTATCAAGTCATGATTTTGGTGCTACGTTTGCCCCTGTGGTAAAATTGACCACTGTTCAATTGATTATTTCTCTGGCTATGGAGTACTTTTGACCTCTTTATTAGTTGGATATGAAGAATGCATTTTTTCACGATGATCTAGACGAGATTATTTATATGGATGCACCACCGGACTTTTATGATGAGGGAGAGTATGTTGGAATGGTATGTCGACTGTGTAAGTCTCTTTATGGACTGAAACAGTCACTACGAGCCTGATTCTCTCGCTTTAGTGATGTAGTTGTATATTTAGGGCTCACCAGATGTCATTCTGATCATACCTGCTTTATTCGACATAATACTTCTAGAAAGTGTGTCATCCTTTTGATATATGTTGATGATATTATTATTATTACAGGTGATATTTTTGGGACTACGCAAGTCAATATAGATCTTGGGAAGGCCTTCGATGTAAAAAACCTTAGATTTTTGCGATACTTTCTTGGGATTGAGGTTTCCCGTAGTAGTAGGGGTATTGTTCTTTCTCAGAAAAAGTATATTCTGGATCTTCTCTCAGATACTGGGATAATGGGGTGCAAACCGGTATCATCACCCATAATTTCAAACCTGAAACTTACTGCTGAAGGAGAGGAGTTGAGAGATCCGATTGTCTATCAGAGGTTGGTAGGTTGACTTATCTACCTAACCAATACTAGGCCATACATTTCATTCACTGTCAGTTGAGTTAGTCAGTTTACGCACAGACTATGTCAATCTCATCTTGATGCAGTTTATCATATTCTTCGGTACCTTAAGTCTTGCCATGGACTTAGGTTGTTCTATGCATCAGAATTTCATATTGGTTCTCTAGCCTGTTATTCAGATTCAGATTATGGGAGAATGTCTAATGGTCGATCTACTATGAGCTTCTGTGCTTTTCGAGGGACTTATCTTATCTCTTGGAGGAGGAAGAAACAGTCAGTTGTCTCTCGCTCATCAGCAGAGGCAGAGTATCGGGTATTGTCACTTGACATATGTGAGATTATTTAGCTACGATCGATTATTGGTGAGTTGAGATTTTTAGTGACTTCTTCATCTACATTATATTGTGATAATCGATCTGCTATTCAACTCGCTTCTAATTCTGTATTACACGAGAAAACGAAGCATATAGAAACGATATTCACTTTCTTCGAGAGAAGGTTAACAGTGGTATTGTCACTCCATTGTTTGTGGGGACTATTGATCAGGTTGCATATATTTTCACCAAACCTGTCACTCTATCCATTCTTCAGGACTCCGTTGTCAAGCTTGAGTTAATTGACATTTTTGCACCTAACTTGAGGGGGAGTGTTGAAGATATAATGGCCTAGTTTATTAGGATTTATTAAAATTTTTCCTTTTTATTTTTTATCCTTAGTGTAACTTTTATTAGTTATATATACGGAGATTCTACACTTAGTTTGTATCTTTTTTACTTACAGATATCTTTAGTTAAATAAACATGCAAACTGTGATCCCAGATTTGCATAATCTACAGAGAGTACGGCTAAATGCTCCCAGCCATACCCCTGTGATACATATAAATTGGTTCCCCAAAATGGTAGCTCATTAAATATTTACCTTATATGTTGGTTCTAACTTGTCCTTGTACTTGGTATTCAAAAGATCTTCCTTCACAGACAATGTGCTTTCTACCACATAATCTGTTTCAAACTTAGTACAAGATGGTCAACAAACAAATTATCACATGAATACACATACGAGAGAAAGCTACAACTGTCACATTCAATGAAAGGATTGTAGTTATACCTGCAACACTATATGTGGGTACAAAGTCTGGCCTTTTCGGATGAGTGGATCAAGAGTAACGATAACAAACGTGTGTGGTTGGTTAGACTGCACATTGCATAAACATTGAAGAATCAGTTTTATGGTGCATTTTTCACAACACAATTGGTCAATCGACTGCAATAATTAATCAGCACAGACTATGAACAACTCGAGACATCTTAAATTGAGTAAACTTCGCAAAAGACATAGAATGCAATCAAGATTTTTTGATGGCTAGGCATAATCAAGAGATTCATATTGATATATATGCGAAGCAAAAAAAATTAAGTACCTTAGGCAGTAGAAAAAGACGAACAACACTGCTGTACTGAATTTTGAAATCGTTTGCTTGTCCTTGGAGCCGCAAAAATGACAGATGAAGTTCAACATTGTATCGGCACCTGGGAAAAGAGAGACATTTGCATGAAACAATTTGAACAAAAGACGAGAAAAGTATTTGACAAAGAGTGGATCAATGAGACCAACTAGGGTGCCAACACCTACCTTGGAGTAAGTATTGCAATCCCATCAAAAGTAACAACAACATCTTCACCTCCTGCGCCAACATCCGCCATTGACATGATTTTGTCAGGGAAGACCTAATGGCAAGTAACCTTGACATCTCTAAACAAGTTTTTGATTGATACTTATGGAGTTCCAACAGAATCCACTAGAAATTTACCTGAGCAGGAGGACGACTTTCACCACCAACAAACTGTGTTTGAATTGGGTATGTGAAAACTTATCTCCATAAGTGAATCTTTTTGTAATCATGATGGAAAAACAAGAATTGAATCTAGAGAAGACAACATATACCAACCCTCAAGCTTTATATTATACCATGACGACACAAGTCATTCTCAAAACGTAAGTAGGAATTGAAAGCAACCTCGTTGGCCCCAGTTGTATCATCCACATGGAACTCCAACATGACATCATTTTTCCCCTGAAGTTGTGTTTGGGAGACATCTGCTAAAGATACTTCAAATGCTTGTCTTGAATCAACAAGAAAACTAAGCATATTGCCTGGGAAAAGAAGACATGGGTGAGTTTAATCTAAAAAAGTGTTGAAATACATACGCAAATTGATGAACCAATGCTGAAATCAAGATAAATTAGCTTTAGTGCCAATGACAAAATCATGCAACTAAAGAAGCCTATAGACTATAAGAATGCATAAATTAAAAGGAAGCTTGTGCATGTCATCTATACATAGATAAGGCATGAAATCAACTGAGATATTGTCGACTCTCTTCTACATAAACATAGTGCACCAGTACAATCAACTTATTAAATTATGCAAGAGAAGTCTTAATAAACTCCACCAATTGTGACAAAACTACCAATAGCAAAGGAGTCGACTGACCATTTAAATCCACTTCTCCCCAATTTTTTCCACTAACAGAAAGTTGCTTTTCTTCCGGTGCTAACCCACAAGTGTTCTGGAAAAAATTAGTCAGACTGGTGACATCCTGCGAAGACATTCTGGTTGCAACATATGAAAGTAAGCATGTTTCTAGAAATGTAAATGTTACAATAGGAAACAAAACAAGGTAAGTAACGTGGTTTCAAGTGATTTTAACATTAGAATGACAAACTTTATCGCATAATGCTAGCGTATTAAAATTACAGGAAACAGAACGCAGGAAATAGTTTGGTTTCGAGAAATTTTAACATTAGAATGACAAAGTTACGTTATTGCATAAAGCTAACTTTTTCCATGCACTACAACAAAAATTATTTTTTGTAACGCTTTTCTTCATCGCTAAATTAAAAAAAAATCGTCGCAAATAATTTTTTGCGAAGATTTTTTTCGTCACGTGTTCTTCGCAATAACCTCGTCACAGAAAGTATTTTGCGATGTAAATTTATTTTTATCGCAAAAAAAAATTTTGCGACAAAAAAAATAACGTTGCCAAAATTAACAAAAATGTAGCTAAAATCTATTCCACCAGCGAAAAAATGTAAAAAATAATAATTTAAATAATTTTTTGCGACGTAAAAAAATCTTCGCCAATAAATTTTTACATTAATAAAAATGTAAAAAATAATAATTTAACTAATTTTTCGCAACGTAAAAAAATCGTCGCAAATAATTTTTTACATAAATAAAAATATAAAAATAATAATATAATTATTTTTTTTCGACGTAAAAAAATCGTCGCGAATAATTTTTTCATAAATAAAAAAATAATAATTTAATTAATTTTTAACGACGTAAAAAAAAACGTCGCAAATAATGTTTTACATAAATAAAAAATATAAAAAAATAAAAATAAATACATTTGCGACGTATAAAAAGCGTTGCGAAAAAGTTTGTTCCTACAATTTTTCGTGACGATTTTAATTTGGTCGCAAAAAAATTCATTTTTTTTAAATTCATAAAATGATACCATTAAAATTTTTCACCTGTACACTAATAATACATGTGTTAAATAAAAAATTAACACAATTAATACATTTCATATCTTTTTTTAAAAAAAAAAATTTATTTCCAAAAAGGATAAATTACAAGAATCAAAGAACAAATAGTTCTAAAAGTATGAAAAATGGCTTAAATCCTTCAAGATAGACTAAACCATTTTTAATTACAATCATGAACCCCCCCTGATTGTTGAAGAGACTCCTGCCTGCAGCTCCAGCTCCAGCTCCATGCTCAGAATCAGACAGATGCAGAGTTCAGTGCAATCCATGACAGTTCCAGTGCAGTCAAATGATCATTCAGATTTGGAACAAAATATACTATAATCCAGCTCCAAGCATTCCCCCAGCTCCCTGCCTTCTAAAGATAGGAGAAGATCCTGCAGTCCAGCTCCATGCCTTGAGACTAACAGCTCCAAGCTCAAAAGCAAACCAATGCAGCACTCACAAGCAGACCAGAACATACAGAAATCACAGACCAACTGCCTAAACAGACAATATCTATGCATTTCAGTACCTGACTCTTTATAACAGACAACACCCTCTGAATTCTCAACAGTCAATTGCCTAATCAATGAAAAACCCTTCTCAGCAGACTGCATCATCACAGATGCTACATCTAAACAAAAAACTCTGCCTTGACCATCTCTGGTATCCACCTTGTTCCTGCACAAATTTCAGAAACAGCAGGGATTTTCTGATGCAACACCAGTCTGCCTGATCTGACAGACACCACCTCCCTCACTTTGCAGAAAACCCTGATGCTCTTTACATCCTGCATTCACCTTAACCTCTAGCTCTTGGATCACTAATTGAAATTCTTTTCAACCTAGCAGAAGGTATATTACACTGATCCTGAAGTAAAAGTAATCTTCCAGTCAAAGGCAGAATGCCACTGACTGAAAAATCAGTGTAAACTCCAACTTGAACTGCCAATGATGCCAAAAAATTAGCTTCAACAGTCCAGCTCCATGCGTTGAAATACCATCTCCATATCGTATCAAGCAAAAGGGCTCATTGAAAGTCATATTCCTCAATGACTCGGAGATTACGAGGGGGTGAACTACAACATACAAATAGTATCATAAGCAAGAAATTAAATATTCCAATTATAAAAATAACCAGCCAAATAATGCCAACATTAAACCATGAGAATAACATTAGTAAACATACTGGTGACTAGAAGAAAAGAAAGAAGGCAACTAATCTCAATTTTTCCAGGTGCAACGACCAAAAGATCAGCCCACCTCAGCTTTCAATATCCGTACAATTATAGAAAACAAAGTTTTAACACGCCAGAGGTGCTATTAGGTGGCTAATTCAGTAAAATACGGATGTGGATGTGCATAATTTACAGTAAGAAAAGAAAATAAAAGAAACTAATTAGGACAAATGTAAAACTTGCACACGAGACTCTTTAGTCAACA